AAGCCTCTCGTGCCGGTGTGGTTTCTGTGTGGGCAGCGGCAGACGCTGTTCGATGAAAAGCACACTGAGCTTTCGATTGCAGATAACTTGTAAAAGGCTGAACTGGAGCAGGGAGGTCTCGAATTTTAATTTGTTGTACGTTTCCATCCTTGCCTGCCTCTCCTCTCTTAGAGTTTTCCTTCCCTTCATCAGATCCCCAGATGCACATATTTCTGCAGGTCCCACTCCCACAAACTGCTGCACTACCCCAGATCTGCACGACCTGGTCTAGGTGTTCCTGCTCCAGCAGAGAGACTGGACTAGATGATCTTTCAAGCTCCCTTCCTGTCCCTGACATTCTGTGATTCTGTGATCTTCTACCTTCCTGTCCTTGTAACTCTCTTCACCAAAATACCATCTTTTGCCCCTGCCCACCTACTGCATGCCCTCAGCGTAAGCCACTCAGTTTCCTAGAGTACATCAGATTTCACCAACACTTTGTGCTTCATTTTATCCTCTCTCCTTCTCTTTTTCTACCATGCTGAGCTACAAGTGCAGGGTGCTGCACCACCTGGCTTGCTGCTGCAGGCAGTTTGAGAGGAGCAGTTGAACACACCAGATGTAGCAGTGAGGTTCTGTTGACTGGCTGTAACTGCTGTTGTGAAAGAACTTACCTAATGTTCAGGAAGTTACTAATGAGCAAAGACTTTTATAAATATGCTTCTCTGGTGGCCAGGTTATCAACGGTCAGATATCCCTGTCCTCCCCTCACACAGCAGCTGCTGACATGGAAATACTTATTCCTCTTCAGATAAGAGCTGGTACAATGGAGACTTTGAATCTGCTACTGGAGATACATAAGGTGTTTGGTTTTTGTTTCCTTTAAAAACCTCCTGTGAAAATTGTGTGCCACATCTTGGAAGTCTCTTTGTGGAGAACCCCGAATTTAGAAAAGCCATCTAAACCACCTAGGGCAGCTGCAGGCACTGTGCTCTACAGGAGGAGGTGAGAGAATATTGGACTGTGGCCTTTGTCCTTTATCCATTCTGCGCATGTTCAGCTGTACAGAGAAAATAGTATCTTCATCTCATTACTTTCCATGAGTCAAGCAAGTTCTTACAAGTTGCAAGATAAGATGGTGTTGCTGAAGTAAAGCCTTAAATAACTGATTCTCAGTTCACTCAGGACACATTGATTCCATCTCAGAAATTCAGAAAAGAGGAGAGAGTTGTCTCTGTAAGTAAGGTTCCACTGCGACGTAAACCAATGCTGGGCTCTACGCAGACTTTGCAAACAGTCCCCTGGGGGTGCTGGAAGTATGTCAAGAGTGACAAAGTATGCTTCACTGCACGTATTCCTGCACTAAAGGACCACTTGGTTCTTTAGTATTTCTCAAAGTCCATTTACTGGCCCTGCATGCTGCTGAACTGTCCAGCTTGATAAAATGAGGAGAACTTGCTGGCTCTGCATTACATGCTGTGTTTTTGTCTGTCTATCCTCACAGCAAATGGTACGTGTGCCAGCTACTCAATCTAAACTCAGTCTGTGGGGTTACAGTGGTCTGAGGGCTAACCTTCTGTTTTCTACAGACTGAACAAAAGCAAATAGTTTATAATTCTTGAGGCAATTCTCAGAAAACCTCTTTGATAGGACGTATTTCTGAGCTGCAGATTTTGGAAAATGTGCCCAATTCTAAAATCACAGACACCAGAAATCCATTAGGATCTTTTCTGCAAAGAAGATGTCTGCCAGTGTGTTGGACAATCTGAGTCCCTCTCTGCATGAAAGCAGACTGCGTACAAACTGAAAGAAGAGAAGTATTTATGGGTATTCTGTGTGAACACTGACACAGCATTCAAATGCACTGAACAGAGGCACGTGGCTGTGCAACCAGGCCTGGCTGGCCACCAAGCAGTTCTGTAGGCAACTGAAGCCAGTAAACCACAGCACATGACTGAGAAACTGTATGTTCATGCCTGCAAGCAGATGTAGCCCATTAGTGCAAATTCTCTCTAGAATGACATGGCTTAAGTAAGATACAAGAAACATGAAGTTTGAAGACTATTTAGAACCTGTTGTTGCACTCATGAGGTAGTTGAGGGAAAGGTGGCGAAAGAATTTTGCAGTTCACTCCACTGCTGCAGATTGCAGACGGTAAAGAGCAGGTGAGCTGTGTGGTCCATGTGCTCACAGTTGCAGTAACACATTGCATCCTCACAGTCAATGTCCTGGTGTTTTGCTCTGCATACTTGCACGTGCAGTTCCAGGAGTGCTATCCTCAGGTGCTTACCAAATCACTGCCCTCATCCTCCCGCCAAATCTTTTGCTGTGAGGATTGAGTGGTGTCAGCCACGTCTGCTCAGGTGCACAGTCCCTAGAAGTCCCAAAGCGTTTTCCTGACTCTGTAGCTACTTTTAGCTTAATAATATAGATGGGATCTCTTTGATTTTTCCCAGTAGGAGACTCCATCCTTCTGGCTCATTCATTATTTTCTGGATTATTTTCATGGAACTCTCTGCAACTTATTAGGATATGCATTGTAGTGAAGCGGCTGAGCCAGAACACAATGTTTTAAATTAGACTTTCAAACGTTTTATTTCCTTCTCTGTGACCTCATGATTCTGCATAGCTAATATATCCCACACTTGCCATTCACCAGGCAAATTCCTGTCTCTCTCAGCACCACTACCTTCCATGTTTTAACCTCCCACTGAATGTCTGAAACTCAGATTGCTTCTCCAGTACAGCCTGAATTTTCTTAATCTTCTCACTTTGTAATTTCTTAGCTGCCTTTGAATTTGCAGTCCAACTCTGGGAGCTTCAGATGACCTTTAGAGGTCCCTTTCAACTCAAAAGATTCTATGATTCTGTGAATTATTTCTGTGCACCTAAGGGAGGTATTTTAAGTGCTTACCTTATGGCCACATCTCAATCGTTAGACTGTTGTCACCAAAATGGCTGGTGAGATGTCAGGTAAGACAGAGCCCTGTGAAACCTACCAAGAGCACCATCTTTTAGCTGTTTATCTCTAATATACAATGTGGTCACGTGTATTACATGCTGTTCTGATGCAGATTTTGTTGTTGTTCAGTGTTGTCAGAGAAATGTGTTCTTCTCCTATGCTTTCCTGTTTGGTCTCCATAAAAGAAAGCTGGGATTTGACTGCACTACTGTAGGATTATCAATCTTTTCATTCCTGCACACATTTCAGGTTCGGTCTGAGAACTGACAACTTCAGGATGTGTTGAATGACCTCTGCTCTACCTCTGTGGGTCAAGTCTGCATTTATTTATTCTTGTAAGAGATTTCTTAGAGTGGGGGTATGAATGGGAAAGCGTACACACATGACTTAGAAACAAGAGGGGGGGGTTCACAGGAGTCATAAACTCCCATCTGCTCTTTTGTAATCCCCAAATTTAGAAATAAGTAAAATAGGCAGAAATATTACCATTACTTGGCTGAATACATCTATGTATGTATATCACATATTCATCAATTTTTAGAAGTGTGAGGCATTTCAGAATCCTTGGCTTTCCTTCCTATCACCGAATGTCAATATTTGCACGCGTTCTACTTTGTGTTCTTCACTTTTTTCATCTTCAATTCCATAAAACTGGCTTACCAGAAAAGAATATATTACCAACTATGTGGAAAGCAACTCCCTGTGGAACGGAATTTAGGAAATGCAGTTCTTAATTTCACGTTTTTCTTTCTTTTTCAGGAGTTGCACTCAGTGCTCCTTACGGGTCCTTTCCAATTCCAGATATTCTATGATTCTATCATTTGTTCTCCCACTCTGAACGGTTTGGGTTATCACATATTCAAAAGCTCTGTATGGCTTTTTGGAACATCTGATTATAAAGCCATATTCTGCATACATTCAGGATAAGACACACTGCAGCTCTGAGAGGCGGGGGCTTTGTTCCAGGAACATTTGTTCTCACATGCTTACAGTGCTGAGTAACTGCAGCTGGTAGGTAGGTGCCCGCCTTTCCTTTTTATTCCACATAGACTCACCACAGAGTTTTTCATACTCTGCAATGAATTATCCATGCATTATTAGATAGCCTTCTTTCCCAACACCTCTGCTTAATGGCATGCGGCACATTCCTTGCGTCCTGCAGTAACTTTTGTAGTGATGCAACTCAGAGATCTTATTTTATTCTTTGGGGTACGATACAATTAAAAGCATTGCCTTCCTATAGCATTGTGCAATTGATAGCATACTGCACCCTTTCTGCTACCTTATTGTTGAAGTGATGGAACAGCATCTTCATTTTCCACTCTAATAAACAAAACATATCTTGAATTTATAACCGAGTAGAAGAAATTTAACCCTGGATTGGTGTACGAGGGGTGTATAAACATTGAAAGCAAGGATTTTCTCAGGACACCGATGGCACCAAATGAAGAGAAACACAAGTGCTGTTGTAAATGCCTGCAGACTCAAATCCTGCCACAGGCTCTCGGTGGAACAGGAGAAGCTAGCAGAGGGAGGCATGCCCTTTTTTACTGAAAGGACTGGAAAAGATAAAGCTGATATGGGAGCCCAAGTGCACTTCTTGGTCCCAAAGAAATGGGCATGGCCCTCTAGCGACCAAAGTTATTTTAGACTGAAGCAGTCTGGTTTAAAGAGGCTTTAACTGAAGCACTTTTAAATCTTTAAATCTCTCTTTGCACACGAGTATTTAACAAAAATAAATCAGTACCTTCAAATCTGAAAATGCGACATTTAAAAAGAAACAGCTCTTTTTTATGAGTTTCTAAAGCTGATCCATGTGGGAACCTCCCTTGGGGAGCAGAAGCTGGCAGCAGATCTGGCATTTCTTGTCTTTTTATTGGACACAGGTAAACTGTAAGCCCTCCCACAGCTTTCCCACAGAATCATTTTTGCAATCCTGCGTTGGTGACACTAACTAGGGAGACAGGTTAACCTTTGCCTTTAGTCAAGACTGCTATAAGCCTTCCATGTAAAATCAGAGCCTTGACACTCCCTTGATGTTTGCTATTTTGAAACCTACCTGCCTACTTCTCAGTTCCAAGGTCAGGGTTGGCTTTTTGTTCTTCTCTTTAGGCAGGGTACTGGAGTGAAACTGCAGTTGTCTACACAGAAGGATTCGTCCACTTGCCAGCCAAACGTCTCTGTCAAGAAAAAAAAGAAATTGGAGCTGCCATTATGAAATTTTATTCAAACAAAATAATAGATTTGCCTTGTGTTTTGATGTCCCTCTCATTGGTTTTTAGGTGTTCCCCTGCAGCTCTAAAAGTCTGATTTCTTGCTGCAATTTACATGAAGTGTTTTGCTCCAGTAGATGTGTGTTAAAGAAATAGAGCTGATACCAAAAGAGTAGAGGACATCTTGAGAGTTCTGACTTGCTAAACAAGGTAATTCTACCTGATCTGGTGTAACATTTCAGTCCCTGAGAGGATTCTCAGCCCTGCACACAACCCTGCATTGCTAAGCCACTGCCCAACAGTGCAATGCAGGTGTTATTAACTGCATATGGCCCAAGGAAGCTTGAGCAGCCCTGATTCCTCACAGATGATCCAATCAGAATGGCAGATTTATCAATTGCTTTGGTTGTGGTCTTTTTTTTTTTTTTTTTTTTTTT